TCGATTCTGTCCCTTTCGGCCCCTCCCTTGCGTTTTCCTCTGGATGGAGACAGAGAGATAGGCAATCTTCAGAACCCTCAGTGCCTGCTCTGTATCGACCAACCTCCTCTGCTCCCACAGAGTCTTCCTAATAGAAAGGATTAGTCTCACAATCTCTGAATGCTGCCACTCTGCAAATATAAAACATGCCTGCATGTCCAATGTAGTTTTTTTTTTACTACAACAATTACTTGATTCCCCTTTCAAACCGGTCCACATCCTGCTTTGAATCACTCCCACACATTAAGCGGTGCGGTACAGAATGTCATTATTCTCATCTTGTGACAAAAGGAAACGACGCTTTCTGTCGATGGTTTGCACAGCAAATAATATTAAATTTACAGCAGGAAACAGGAGGGAAGGTGAGGCAGCACGTGTTGATATATTACATTTCTGCTGTGATCTGTGGGTCACAGGCAATCTTTCTAACTTTTAATATTGTATGTCCTTAGCTTTAGCCGCTATCGTATTATCAGGCGTTACCATGGGGCGGGGGGCGGGCAGGGTCATAACGACTGTGACGATGTATGATGAAAAAGGAGGAAGCAGGAATTAAATTAGACTGAAGCACGTCTGAGGGAACGTCGTGTTTTCCGTTTGCTGTGACCTGAATAATATTTAGACAATGTAACTATTCACGACCAGCGACACCACACGCCCGCTGTGAAAATACAGAATCTACACCAAGTACAGCTAACACATAATCTGATACTGGACACACAGACAACAGAGCCAAGGTGCTTCAAGATGTGGCGGAGGAAATGACAGACTTTATCTGCTGTGGCCATGACTTCACATCAATCCAGTTTAATCCAGTCCGCTGCAGCAGCTCAATCAGAGTTTTCTTGATAAATAAGGTTTTTCCCTGTGTTTCCTTTTGTAAACACAGAAAAATCTGTGTAATAAATGCCCTCCTTCATTAAATGTTTAAAAGGCATGTTTTATTTTTATTTTGTCTGTTCATTTTATTGTTGGTATCCAGTGATATTTTCAGCTTTAAAGTGAATTCCTTCAAGCTCAGTCAACCAGGGAAATTCCTACTACCAAGAGTGGCTACCTAGAGTAGGCTTTCAGGAAAATATTAATAATACTGCAGTACAAAGTACCCATCAAATTAATCTAAAGTACATTTGCAATTTATTATCATAATTTTAAATGTTTTGAAAATTAAATAGAAGGCGAGGAGTTGGTAGAAGGCTTGACTTTACAGCAAGACGTTCACTGATTGGCTGGTCTTTCTGGGCAGAGTTTGCATCTACTGAATGTGGATGGATGGATGGATGGATGGACGGATGGATGAATGATGGATGGATGATGGATGGATGGAAAAACCAAAATGATCACCAAATACATGAGAAGAAAAAGTAAAGCTGGAGTGTGACGGCGGTGATGTCTGGTAAAGATGAGGCCGACAGTCAGACTGACGCATATACACTGTCAGATGGAAAAGTGGGCAGGAAAGCAGCCAAACTATATACGCTGCAGCAGTGTCAAACAGATTGATTGATTCATAAATAATGAATCAAGAAAAACGGGTAAAATAAACTCTGTAAATAAATGTGCTGTCTCGTTCTCTGCCCCGGCGCCTAATGGATTGTGCCTGTGCACATCTTTGCTTCACTCTATATTTATGTGTGGGTGTGTGTGTGTGTGTGTGTCTGTGTGTGTGTATGAACTCATTTCAGCAGTGTGGTGGCCCATGCTGCAATGGCAATCACTATCCTGACCCCATTATTGATGTTGTGTAATAATCACAAGAAAGACAACTCACTTCATGGGAACACAACAGACGACGAGCAGCGTCTGCAGAGCTAGGGTTCTGGACATCCACAGACATACGATTAAACACTGACAAGTAACATTTAAGAACATATAGATTACGTTACGTTACGTAACAGTGACATTTTTGTTTGCCTATGCTTATGATATATTTCAGTAACTTTTATAGTAGGGAACACACAATATTTTCTCTTTGATTTTGAAATCTAGTCATGGGCCAGATTGGACGGTTTGGAGGGCTAAATTTGGCACGCGGGCCACCAGTTGATAATCACTGTCTTTAAAATGAATTTCCTAGATTTTCTGCTCATGCAATTTGTAAGTTAAGTTATAGGTGAGCATGAATGATTGAAACTGTGCCCAGTGGTGTCACAGCGGTGCTGCCCCACGGCTTTATTTATTCATGTCAGGGAAACATTGATGACATGAGTGTCAGTGAGACACAGACATATTTAATGTCTAATGTGAGCTTCTCTGTACACACTGTAAGCTATATAACACAGGGGTCTTCAACAGAGGGTCGAAATGACGATCAATACTGTCACTGGTTCCAGTTGACAATGTTTCTAAATGACAGGGGTAAATTATTGTTGAGTGCAAAACAATAAGGTGTTATTATACCTAGACCTGATAGAAAATGACCAGTTCTAGATTCTATAGTAGGTGGACCCTTTCGTTCTCTGCATCAGTTTGTAGAACCTCGGCCTGAAAAATGTACAAGATCAGTGATGTAACGATTAAGATTCAGTGAAATAATTTCCAAATAAAAAGAGCAGCTTTGATCCATTTGTTGAAATCATACGTATTTTAAAGTCTGTTGACTTCTACAGCAGTTTATCAACAAACCCTTTTTTTTGTTTTTTAAATTAACAAAACCTACACCGTTTCGTGGTTACATTGCCGTCTCTTTTAAACTCAGTAGGAAAGTCTTGATCCGTCGTTCTGACATATGGCGTCAGAATCTCCAACTAGTTTGCACGGGAACTAGTGGGTGTTTTTACAGCGGAGTGCAGCAAACAAATACATTATCACATATGTGGAAGACGGCGTTGTTTACATTTGTCAGTTGTTCACCATACATAGCTGCATTCACTTCCTTTACTTTGTGTTGTTCTTTTGGGAACTTTTAGCCCTTCACTATGGCTCCCAGGTGTAAGTCAGACTCTTCTGGTGTTTTTGTGTCCTAGATTATGATGTCACCACTGTGTTAGTGTAGCTGAGTGACATAGGTACTGATGAACAGTATGTGAGTTTTGACTCACATACTCGAATTACATTGCTCAGTAGGCACGGAACTCTGATGTAAATTGAAGACCCTTGTTCATATTAAATGAGCGAGCACTGGAAAGACAGGTTAATAATTTCTTATTCTGGTGTCGTTCAGCTGCATGATGGGAGTCAAAAACACATGGCTGTGCAGCTTCTTCCTAAAACTTCTGTCGAATTCAGGAGGCACTGAGCGCCTTCATCACTTCTCACTAATTCACTCGCTCTATTTAATTTCTTCATCTCTACAAATCAGCGATTCCATTAACATTTCATTACAAATGACTTTTTTTTCTTCATTTCCTCCTGTCTGCTTCCTTCGTGATCCGTCCCTACACCTTCTTCTCAGTCCGTCTTCAGCACCATCTGAACCGATCGCTGTTTTTCATCCACTGCCCAGTTTTGCCACGTTCTCTTGTCTAACTCAAAAAGCTTGCATCCACAAAACCACCTCGTGTACAAAAGCAGCGGAAAAGAACATAAAGAGACGCACACCCCGCAGAGAAGCGTGACTCCGGAATGCTCGGGCTCCCAAACGTGCCACACGTGTGCGGTGCGTGCCAAAGCTGCGCAGGGAGCCAGCGCACCTGACAGGAGAGGGCGACCACACATTCTCAATTCGTGGCACACTCCCACTCTCTCACGCACAGTTAGTCATACATAAATGTTCAAACTCTAAAGTGAGGAAAAAAAATGACAGCAGTGTGTATCCCTACGAGCCCATCATATGTCTGCCATTTTGGGGGGGGGGGGGGGGGGGAAAAGTGGTGAAAAGGGGTTTTTAAAAAATCCCTGTGTTTTACCTGAATGTGAACTTGCAGCCTGGGGGACATCCAGTGTACGGTTTGATTCTAAATTATTAACAGCTGCCTCTTATTGCAGCTGGGACAGAAATTGTTGAGAGGACACGGACTATTGCTGTTGGCAGTTACTATATAATTTATACTTCCAGCCATTGTGTGGCCATCCAGATTATTTTTATATGAAACACTATTATGCCGCCGCGCTGGACAAAATGAAACCCTTTTTTTTTTTTTTTTTTCATAATGTCACGTGAAATATGGAACAAATACAACTCTGCTGGCAAAACTTTCAGAACGTTTCGTCATAGAAATGTTGGATAGGTCGAGATGTTCGATCCCACGTCTAGCTGTTACCGTTTCAGCTCCGTAGCCCTGAGTCTTGGGGGCAGACAAGTGAGGATTTCATCGTCGGTGATCACAATGACACTGGTCCTTGGAGCAATCCGGACCGACAGTCCTCCTCTGCAATGCAAATACCCACTTCCCCATGAGCAGACCCATCACGAGCAACCCTCCATACACTTGTGTTCCATGTCATTATCCCCAGGGACCCTCACTCACACACACACACACACACACACACACAGTGCCTTCATTCTACTCCACTGTTGCCCTTATCAAGAACGGGAGGGGGCTGGGCTTAAATCAGTTTGGTTGGCTGTTACTTTTGTTCGCCATGATGGAGGATTGCCATGGGCTGTTTCCACTTAGGCTTCCTGTCACTCACATTCTTCTCTTTACCCTACAGCCATGTGTACTGTATTTCATTAGTCCTGATTTTTGCTGACAAATGGTGGCTGTCATGCTGTGTGCCCCCCCCCCTCAGACCCC